TTTTTTTTTTTTTTTTTTAAAGCATATATACCCCCATAATTCTCAATACTATAACACAAATGCAAATCTCAACCTCATTATTGTAATGTAAAAACAAATGATATACTATTTAAACTGTAAGGTATTTATGCATGTTTTTGTACTGCATTTAATTTAAGGCAAGACATTTGCCAAAATTTTATTCCTAAAAACTTGGTGAAAATGTATATGATGATTGATGATTAGAGCTTACAGCTCATGTAAGTCAAAAATTCAGTATCTCAAAATATTAGAATATTTACATTTGAGTGTCATTAAATGATCATCCCTACAGTATAAATTCTGGGTATCTCTTGTTCTTTGAAACCACAATAATGGGGAAGACTGCTGACTTGGCAATGGTCCAGAAGACGATCACTGACACCCTCCACAAAGAGAGTAAGTCACAGAAGCACATTACTGAAAGAGTGGCTGTTCACAGAGTGCTGTATCAAAGCATATTAAATGCAAGGTTGACTGGAAGGAAGACAATGGGTAGGAAAAGATGCACAAGCAACAGGGATGACCACAAGAGAATACGGTCAAGCAAAGCCGATTCAAACACTTGGGAGAGCTTCACAAGGAGTCAGTGCATCAAGAGTCACCACGCTCAGACGTCTATACACACAGATTTTTTTTTTTTTTGTAATTCCCAACAGTTAAACAGTTACCCACAGAAAAAAAAACTGCAGCACCCTCAGCACCCCCACTTCCCGCGCCTATGCCTGTTCTTCAGTAGTGCCTCAGCAGTGCCACAGGCTGATCACTTCCATGCCACACCTCACTGATGCTGTCATTTGTGCTAAAGGAGCCCCGACTTTTCTTTTTGTTAAATCCTTTTTTTTGATTGATCTTAGGAAATATTCAAATATTTTGAGATACTGGATTTTTGACTTTCATGAGCTGTAAGCTTTAATAATCAAAATTAAAACAAAAAAACTTTTGAAATGTTTTACTTTACATGTAATGAATCTAGAATAAATGAAAGTTTAACTTTTTTAAATAAGTAAAAAAAACAAATGAACTTTTTCACGATATTCTTATTTTTGTTTAGATGCACCTATATATATATATATATATATATATATATATATATGATTTTTTTCTGCCTGTTAGTATTTTCTGTGATATTTAAAAACACTTCAACTCTAATTTGTCAACAAAACAAAACAAGAATTTTGATCCTGACTTTATCCAAAATTGTAATACTTTTAATAAAACTGCCTTGATTTAAAAAAAAAAAAGTATTGAACATTAAACAGGGTTATTATAGTAACTACAACTAAAACATTGTTACTTAAAATAAAATAAAACACAAAATAAACCTGGACGTAAAAATAAACATCTGATCTAATTCACTAAAATAGCTAAAACTGAAAAAAGAATAAAATCTATATAGACATATTATAGACATTATAAATAGACATAAATAAAACTAAAGCGAAAACAAAATATAAAAATAAAAACGTATTCAAAATAACAAAAACTATAACAATATCCAAGTGATTAAATGACACTGATAAATATTCAGATTTATGTTCTGGAAATGTTTGCAAATTAGAGCATATTTAATTAGATGCCTCATTAATGATTTAATGCCTCATTTGCATATTTAAACAACATTTCAGAACACTTGTGATACAAAACAGTTGTCTTAATGTACTGTGATAAATCAACTGGGGGGAAAATGGTGAGATCTATTAGTGAAATGCCTTAAAAAAGTAATTGTAGTACAGTAATACAATAAATACAGTAATAAAAGGACTGCATTTCAGTAATCTAATTAGATTCTCATTGAAATAGCCTAAACTAAAACATCAAGGTTACAATAACAAGAGATGCATGAAATGGCACAATATGACCTGAAGATGTTTTTTTGAGATTCACCCATAAATTTAACAAAAATGTAATCTGGCCAAACCTGTTTCAGTAGTTAAGTACTATGCAAAAATAGTCATGAATTGGTTGTATTTTTTCAGGTAACGTCATGCATGACTCCACCATACAGCCCTGATGGAGACCCGCACCTGGGGTCAGGGGTCACGGCTTCACCCGAGGCCAGATCTCGAGCGGTCAGCGTGATCTGGCACACTTCAGACGCAGACATGAACCGTCATCCCCCATCAGCCCCTGCTGCAGCGGTGTCTGATTCACTCTCAGCGAGCTCCAGCCCTCCTCTGGTGTCTGTGCTGTTTGTGGCCACAGCTTCAGTCGTGGTGATTCTGCCCCCTGAACAAACAGCCACAGCGCCTTCATGTGGTTTGAAGTTTACCACCATCGCTCACGCTCCAGCCCGCGACTCGTCCGCAAACAGAGCCGTCCCGTCACGGCCCCGCGATCACGTCTGCACTCATCCCGACTGTGGGAAAATATACTTCAAAAGCTCCCACCTTAAAGCACACCTGAGAACACACACAGGTACAGAGAACCATGTTTCTCCTACATCTACATGTTAAGGGGTTTATTGTTTGCATGTTTTAGATAATTGATTTTACACTGGACATAAAGCAGTTTCTGCAGGTTTTATGAAATGTTAGACATTTTAAAAATACTTTTTTTTTAAGACCAAGTTCAAGGAATAAATATAAGGAAAAGTGATACATCAATATGTTTTCTAAATGTAAAGGTCTACACTATGAGTTGTATTAGCATTGCTTAAACTTAAAAATACAACTTTAAACCGATTTCCATTTCTTTTTAATTTATTTTACAAATAAAAATAATAAATAAATTAAATAAATAGCTTAATGCTCGAATACCTCAGCTCCCAACCACTAAACAGTATTATGTTTGAATCATTGATATACTATTATAATAATCTTTTTTTTTTTTCAGTATTTTGAATTAGATTTTTATCTTTTGTTTTCACCGTAGGTTTTAGTATCTTTTTTTGTGTTTTGGTCAGTTTTGTTAGTAAATATGTTTATATAGTTTTTATAAATGTTTATTTATTAGTTTTAGTTATTTTAGCACTTTAACTTAAACTAAACTGAGATAAGTTGTCTTGTCAACTAGATGAAGTAAGGTTTTTTTTAATATTTTATTTTAATATATAATGGTTTTAGTTAACTACAATAACTCAGTCACTAGAATAAAGAAATTGTTTAACTGTACCTTCAGATCACACAGCACAAAAGTATTCAAATATATTAGATTCTTAAATCAAGATGCATTTACTTGAGAAGCAAAATGACATAAGAAGTCTTGTTTTCTGAGAAAGTGAACAAAATAAAGTCAGTTTGTGATTAAAACAAGAACAAATATCTGCCAAAAGGCTCAGAAAAATCTACTTAATACAAAGGGAAACCGTTTTCATTCCCCACTGAGAGATATCTGTTCTTGTTTTAAAGGGGTCATATGATGCGATTCTCTTTGGAGTGTTACAAGCTCTTGGTGCATAAAGAAGATCTGTAAAGTTGCAAAGACTAAAGTCTCAAATCCAAAGAGATATTCTTTATAAAAGTTCAGAGTCAGCCACACCTACCTAAAACGGCTCGTTCTAACACGCCCCCACATGTCTACCTCACTATGTGGGAAGATTTGCATAACGCCGCCCAAATGTTCACGCAAAGAAAGAAGGCGTAACTTTTATTCTTGTTGTAGTATTGTTGTTGCCGCCGCCATGTCATGAAGACGCTGTGTGTTTCGTTGTGAAAGCGAAACTACTTTGTTTGGTCTTCCAAAAGAGGACACGACTAGTAATCAGTGGTTAAGTTGTATTTACAACACTGTTCCAGAACAGTTTAACCCAAATATCCAGATGTGTTCAGCACATTTTATGGAGGACTGTTTCCTGATCCTGGGAGAGTAGACTACAATGCCCGGCTGTTCTGACTCACAGACTGTAAGTACGTTTTTTAAGTGTAGTACGTTTTGAGCAGTGTAGAGTAGCACTTGTTGTTTGTCATTTCTCCGATCACAAATACAGACATGGTTTTATGTTTACGCGGCTCGATGCAACGCAACGCGTAAAAAGATAGTATAAGTTATTATAATCCCTAATTATGTCCCCACTGGATGCAACGAATGCCTCGTTTATATTTTTTGGACAGACATCATGATTGGTCTTTTTTTTTTGCATATATATATATATAAATAAACAAGCCTTTTTTAACCATCACTTTTTTTTTTCATTTTCATTACTATGAAAAAAATATGGGCTTTAGATTCAGTAACCAATTCCAAACCAAAACCAATCAAGAAATTTGTTTCTAGCTGTTTGCTCACTCATGTTTAATTGTGAACTCTCACAGTAAAGGCAATGCTGTACCAGACACTAAAATGCAAAATGAATCCACAAGGCCATTAATACCATTTTATTGACAGCAAAACTTTGTCAAGAAAAGGTAAATGCTGTAAACGGCAAACAGTCCATAGTTTATGCTCTGACATGGAACAAACATTTAATTTGTCTAATTCCCGTTCAGTGTTGCACAGTTCATTGCTTTCACTTGCCTGGATCTTGCAGGTAAAGAGCAACATAACAGCTTCCTCTCACTTCAACCAGCAGCACTTGCTCCAACCGTCTTCAACACATTCTCAGACATACTTGCACAATACCAGAGACATCCTGGACAGAACACATGTGTAATGCTGAGACAATGCACAGCACGACACGAATAGACTACTGCTTAGAAAAGGCCTGAAACAAACAAGTAACAAAGTATGTGAAAGCAGACACTTCCCAATTTTGTGCAATACTGCATTACAAAATGTAGCCACACACGTCTTTTCATTTAAATGCAAGAACTTGCTTGTCATGGCAATGCAAGCATGTACAAATATGTACAACTAGACCAGACGCTTGCACTTTGTGTCTGCATTTGCATACTTAGGAATAGTTCAAAAGCATTGCACCACTTGCTCAGCATTGGATGCTCTGCAGTGAATGGGTGCCGTCAGAAATCGACGCGAACCTTAAACCACATAAACACATTTCATTACACCAAATACACAACATAATGTTCTTTTTAGCAGCATCATATGACCCCTTTAAGCATAAATTCACTTCATTTTGTTCAAATTCTCAGGCTTTATTTGTTAATTTTTCGTTTCAAGCAAATATCTTGATTTAAGGATGTTTAGATATTTGTATTGGAACACTTAGAGGGTGGTATTCATATTTTTGCAGAGCATGCAACAATTTAATGCCATGACTTTACGAATGTAAGACTTTCTGCTCTGAATTAAGGCCTTATCTTGTGGAAGAGCAAATTAAAACTTTTTAATAAATGCAGAAACTCTGTAAAATGAAACCTCACACCAAAGTATGGTTTTCCATTTGCTCTGACCAGGAGAGAAGCCGTTCAGGTGCTGCTGGGACGGCTGCTTGCGGCGTTTTGCCAGATCTGATGAACTGTCTCGTCATCGCCGCACGCACACAGGAGAGAAGCGTTTCTCCTGCCCCGTTTGCCACAGCCGCTTTGTGCGCAGCGACCACCTGGCAAAACACACGCGCCGCCATCTAACAGCCAGGAGAACGGCAGTGTGGCAGAAGGAGGTTTACCGTCTGAACAGCATCAGTGCTGTCTGTCACCTGCAGCCTCTGGCACCTAAAACTCAGAGCTGACAGTCATCACACCTGTACTCGTTTAACTGTTTATATATATACACTACTGCTCCAACGTTTGGAATCATTAGGAGTTTTTAATGTTTTTGAAATTTGTCTTTTCTGCTCACCAAGGCTGCATTTATTTAATAAAAAATACAGTAAAATCAGTATGAATGGGTGCCGTCAGAATGAGAGTCCAAACAGCTGATAAAAACATCACAATAATCCACACGTCTCCAGCTCAGCATTAAGATGTTTTTAACTTTCAACTGTTGCTTATGGCTAAAATCTATGCATAGTAACGCTTCCTCCATTGAAAAGGTCGTTTTGTCTGAATCAGGAGCGAAATCTGCACAGATCAAAATGTCTTAATGCTGGATTTGTTTCAGCTTTTGTCTTCTCCAAAAATGTAATTTATTTCTGTGATGCAAATCTGTATTTTCAGCATCATGTCACATGATCTTCAGAAATCATTCTAATATGCTGCTTTGCTGCTCAAGAAACATTTGATTATTATAAAACGATGTATGGAAACTGATACATTTTGTTTTTCAGGATTCTCTGATGAACAGAAAGTTCAAAAGGACAGCATTTATTTGAAAGAAATATTTCAGATCTTTAGGATCATGTGACACTAAAGACTGGAGTAATAAATCAATTACATTTTACAATATATTCACATAGAAAACAGTTATTTTAAATTGTAATATTTCACAATATTACTTCACAAATCATTCTAATATGCTGGTTTGCTGCTCAAGAAACATTTCTTATCATGTTAACTGATGGACTGGAGTGCTGTGGATTATTGTGATGTGTTTATCAGCTGTTTGGACTCTCATTCTGACGGCACCCATTCACTGCAGAGGATCCATTGCTGAGACAGTGATGCACTGCTACATTTCTCCAAATCCGATGAAGAAAACTCATTAATATCTCGGTTGAGTACATTTGCAGCAAATTTCAATTTTTGGGCAAACTATTCCTTTAAAGTGCATTTTAGGCCTAAGATTTTAACAGTTTACAAAGTTTCCATTGTATTTTGTCCAAAAAAACATACCACAGTGCTCTTGCTGAACTATTCCTGCAACAGTTCAAATAGGCCAAAGACCACAATTTTCCAGTTTCTTAATACAAATAACAAAAAACAAGTGTATGTTTCTTTAAAAGCATCTGATGATGTCATGAAACTAGACTCGAGCTTTAATAAATAACTTCAGCTGTTGGGTACATGACTGATTCCATTAGTAAGTGGAAATACTATATGTGTATACATATTTATAAAACGGACTTGAATATAATTAAGTGCATCTGTAAACGCTAACAGTCCCATTTGTTAAAGCTAATCGCACCTATTTGCGGTATATGCATCAGTTGTGATGGCTATGAAGTTGTTCTGGTTAATAACACTTCTTAAGCTCTGGTCCCAGCCAAACTTCTTCAAAGCAACTGAAGCTTCTTAGAAGACTCCAGGGTCTTAAGTGCTTAAAATCAGTCAAATAATGACATTAATAAGTGGCTTTATGTTACGCTGGGGTGGACACGGACGCCTCGGATATGTTTGGTTGCAGGCAACATGGTACCAGAGAGAAATTCTTCATCCTCACGTCCAACATGACGCCACAGTTATGAAGCTCTTGCCTACAGAGAGGAAAAACAACTTGATTAAAAAGCAAAACAAATGCAGCGGGTTTGAAATACCACGTACAGCGACATCAAGATCCACTCCGTACCAGTCACGTTCAGTGATGCTGTAGAAGACGGGCGGTTTGTGTTCCTCTCCATTACTGAATGTGGCCCCCAGACCACTGGCCCCTGCTTTGCTGAAAAGCAGCCAGTCTCCGACACTGAGCTCCGGCAGCAGACATCGCTCCACCACCTGATCCAGATCATCAGAAGACGGACCCCACAGACTGCTGGAGAACAGCGGCTCTTCTGCACTCACCTCCTGACAAAACACCACATACCACATGATCACTGAGAGCATCAGTTTAACAGCCTGTGATGGGCTCAATCACAAAAGATGACATTCAAATCTTTTAAAATCTTTCTTTGTCCAACAAGAGGACAAGCTCACACACATAACTGTAGAACACTATCTTACAATGTGCTTTTATTCAGAGGCCAAAAAAGTGCTCCGTGCAAGGACAAAATGTTTTCCATTCACATTGTCAGTGTCACACTGGTGTTTTGGCCTCTGAATAAAAGCATATTGTGAGCAACTTTTATACTATTATGTGTGCGAGCTTATCTATTTGTTATATTTGTATAAGTATTATCTATTTACACATTTCTTTACTATTTAGCGTGGACGTTTCACATCTTTAATATTTACAAATCTTTCTTAGAAATGTAAAACTCACTGACAAAAAACAACATCAAAATGAATTTCAGTTTAGTAATTATTAACACGTTCACTATAAAAGAGATCTACTAAAACCATTGCATGTATGAAATGTATTTTGAAATGTTTTTTTATGCATATAAAAAAAAAGTTATCTGTAAATGTTTGCTGATGTTTATACATTGGATCACATTTCTAAAAATTTTTAAGAGAAAAAGAGAAATATTTACTTTGTGTGCCAAAGGCATCGATATTGAATCTTCACACAGCAGCTTACTGGCAAAAGACCCATAAACCCCGTCGTTCATGTAGTAGAGAAACTCAGGCTCATCGTTTGCAGACAGTGCATCTGAAAAAACACAAACATGAGTTCAATAAACACATTATGATCAGTGTAGCACCTATTAGACATGCAGTGGGATTTTATTTAATATGTACAGTAAGGCTGGGCAATATTGCAAAATAAAAGTTTATACAATACGTGTATATATATATATATATATATATATATATATATACGTAACATAAAACACAAAAAATAAAGTGCTTTGACGATTATGAACATATGACGACTAGCACTCACTGTGTGGTTGACCACTGAAATCACGAGCCACTGTTTTCTTGGCGATTATATTCACGGCCAGCATGAAGGCAGATGACACATAATAAGCTCCGGGTTCAGCGATGATCGTCAATCCGGTCGAAAGAGGGAAATACATGTCCAACATGGGTTTCAGCGTCTGGTTGACCTGCACACAAAAAAATAACACCAGAAGCTCGGGGGGGTGGGGCATAGAAATGCAAAAACAATCTTAGGAATGTACAGCAGAATACAGTACCTCGTCTAACTGCGCCTCACTTCCATCAAAGCCACCTCCGACGTCCAGAATACTCATCTCAAAGCCGAGCTCCTCCTAAAATCAAATTCATTTCTAACACGTTACCGAGGGGGAAATAAATACTGAAAGTGACATTTAGATAAATAAAGATCATTCCCTCTGGGCTCGGTAGGGAAGCTCATGGCACAATCAGATCAAAATTCGATCCATGACTGCATGAGTGATGACTCACCGCCATATCAAAGACACAGCGGGCATCAGAAACAGCACGAGAGAACACTTGTGCATCCTGACAACAACTGGGAATGTTGAATCTGTGAGCAAAGCATGAAATTAAAACTCATTCACTTTCTGCATAAATGTCCTTGGCGTAACTGTGCATGAATCATGAAAAAAATGATGTTAGTTCTGAGAAAAGCTCAATCATTAATTGTTTACCCACTAGCTTTAATATCTAATGACATAGAATTATATTTGCCCTTAAACTGATTTTCAGAGGCAATTTTACCATTATAAGGGCATTTTCTATCCTTATTAGATCTATGCATCATCTTTTGTGTATTATTTTTACATTTATTCAAATAGAATAAGAAGTCTAAGCTATAGACTGTTACCAAACAAAAGAAATCAATATCAACGAAACCAATTTTTCTATTATAGAAGCGGCACAGAAGCTGCATCTGAAGCAGCATTAAGCAGTATTTACACTGCAATTACAATTGCATAAATATTACTATGAGATCAATGTTTTTAAAATAACATTTTGAATATTGAGCTTTTTTTTTTAAATGAAACAACAATACTTTAAATATTTTAATCTAAAACTGCCAGTAGGTGGCAGCAAGTCTCTGTCTTAATAAGTGAGTCATTGAGTCATTTACTAAACCAATTTGTTCAAAGGCTAATTCATTTATGAACAAAGCGATTGTCTATCTTAATGAATGGATCATTGATTCGTTCAGAAACGCTGATTCATATAGGAATGAAACACTGTTTTGCTTGGAGATGCATAACGGTTCTACTGCTGCTTTGTTTGGGACCATTTTCATTGGCAAAACAGAATAAAAACAATATTCTCTTCTTATTTACTTAACTGTTGCACCCTGAATGTGCGTCTTTTTGTTTTTGCAAAGTGAGAGACATACTTGATAATGTCAGCTACCACATTGTCAAAACAACAATTAGGATATTATTGTAAATGATACATATTGCATGCACCTACTGTACTATGACATCAGAAATTGTGATGTCCAAATAATTTTTGAGGCCACTGTAACTTCTAAATGACTCCAGTCGTATTCTGTATTCTCTCAAAACTCAAGAGAGACTCACTTGACTCCTGTAACATGCAAGCTGAGCTCTCTGGCACACTTCAGCAGATGTCTGCAGTCCTTGAGTGTGGAGCCGAATGGTATGGCCGTCTCCTCTCGGTTGCAGCAGCTCTCCGATGTCAACAGCAGCAACACCCTATTGCAGAAAACCAGTTCCAGAAGAGAAGATTCAATATTAAACCAATCCAGTGCATTAGTGTGAATGCAGCCTATTAGAGCTGCCACTGTCTATGAAAAATCCCTCACTGCCCTTGTCTGGAAAACGCTTAGATAGTAAAAGCACTTTTTGCTTGTGATATATATATATAATTGGATCTTGATTCCCAGAATCTGAAACAGATTGTGAGGTTTCTAAAGATTCCCACCCCTACTAAGAACTGTGATATTTTACTTTTTCTTTTTACTGCATATGTTTGCATTGTGATAAGCCTAGTCACTGCAAGTGTGATGACATGACTCACTTTGCTTTGGGATGGCATCGCGCAATCTTCCTCAGCTCCGCCTCATTATCGCAAACAAGGAGGGGGATGTTGTGTTTGGCTGCGTATTTGATATGAGACAGCTGTTTACACGTGCCGCCGAGAA